TTGGTGGTGAAAGACAACATTTTCAAAAAAGATTTCTATTGATTAATAAAAATAAACTTATTTTACAGTTCATTAAAATTTCCTTTGATGTAAAGATAGGGTTTTCTAAGTTTTGTCTCTTTAGACCAAACTAGTGTATTCCTATTGGAGGTGGTTTAGGTCTCTATTTAGTATGTGTTTGTGAGTACCACCAGAACGCATTTAGCAACTTTTAGCATTAAGATACCAACACACTAAAGAAGTATTTTATTGCTTTGTTTGATAAACACAGCATGCAAGAAATCATGTGTAATCAGTGGCAAAAAGCCAACAAAAAAACATGATATAGTTGCAGTTATACTTCTAGTGGATGATTTTATTGAAAAAGCTTGTAAATAAATAGACTAATTAAGAGATCATCATTATATAACCAAATTAAGCAGCATATTTGCAGCATCTAAAATTAACATTACCAAGTAATCATACTTTAGTATTACTAGACTTTACTAAAAATGAAAGTATACAAGATTATAAGGTATCTGGAAAATGGCATTTTTTTGCTATATCACATGAAAAGAGTGTTAGTGAAGGCGTTAGGGGTTCTGTCAAAAAAAATGTAGCAAAGACTACAATTCACCTGATAAAATGTTGACTAAAGATTGGTGTTGACAAAATATCAAAGGAATACATTTTCAATACATTTCAAATAATGTAATTGTATTACATTGCATAAAGTTTAAATAAGAAGAATTTTATGTTACTTATTCAACAATTCCAGGAACAAGAAAACACCATTTTTTAATAACACAATCATTAACTACTTCACAAATGAGATGGATGTCATTTGAAAATATCTATACTTAATGTAAATGCTTCTACAACACAGCATATGGTTCCATTTGCTTCTCTTTCACCAAAAATTAATATAGCATGTGTTCGTGATGCAAAATGGTTTTTAGGCAATATTGTGGAAATATCTGAAGAAAATAAAGATGTTCTTATCAAGTTCATGAAGCAGTCTATATCCCTAAACACTTTTACTTGGCCGCATAAAGAAGATATTTGCTGGGTTTCAATACGCACCTTTTATGAAAAAAATTTTATGAAAAATTTTCATCTTTAAAAGTTCAATCAACAACTGGTAGATGCTATGAACAATCAGCTCAAGATAAAGCTGAAATACTTTATCTGTACAGTAATAGAAAATAACATAAATAAATAACAACATATATAACAATAACAGAAAATAACAACAGCAAAATTATTATAAATTTGATTTATTTGTTCTAAACTTTAATTGTTTTTAATTTGCAAAAATTGATTTTAAAGCATATTTATTTGAAAGATTTAATGTTTATATTGATTGTTTATTACATAATAATATTCTTTATTACATAATCAACTTGAGTATTGTGCTGAAAAGTCAAATAACTCTTATAACTTGGTATAAGTTGTTATCTAAATTTAAATATGATATTCAAATAAGTCAAATAAATGGGGAGGGGTGGAATAGTGAATGGATTGGAAAAAATGTTACATAATTTATAGTCATAATAATAAATATGTATAAATAAGTAAATAAGACAAAAAGTCTTTCTTTTCATTTTTACCTAGTAAGCTACTTATACATTTTATATGCATACATTTTACTTTTTACTGTCTTACATTAAAAACTAAATGTCACAGGTTTTATATGTGTTTGTTTAGTGGTGTGTTTGTGCATAAAGGCACTTCATAAATCATAAATAAAACCAGACAGGGAGAGGTTTTGGGCAAGTTTTGGGCAAAAATGTGTATGTTAAAAAGTAAATGGACAGGGGGGGAGGGGCAGGGAGAAGCTAGGGCTATTTAAAAACTGAGTTTAATTCAGGCTTAATTTATGACTTATTGCTAGTACTGATTATGAAATACTTTTAAATTTATATACACTTTACATTACAATACAATAATACAAACTAAAGTACATCAATACCTCTGCTTTTTATTGTTTTTAATGTTAAAATAACAAAAACAGCACAATGAAATTTTGTAAAAACTTCATTGTGCTGATTTTGTAACTTTCCCATGAGTACCCACTTTTTTTTTTTCTGAAATCACTTTAGTAAAGATTCTCTAATTTTTTATATTTAAAATGAAATTGAAAGCATATTAATTTTATTTTGCCTCTAAGAACATGTGATTTATATAGATTTAATTAAAACTTATTGTTTTAATTGTAGTTGTAGTAGCTATGAACCCTTAGCAATTAAGACTGTATTTTTTTGTTTTAACTTTAAATCAAACTATTTCCAAAAAAATGGTTTAAGAGCCTTGGAATTGTATATTAGCAGCGAAAAATAGCTACAGCAAAAACTTATTATGTGGGAAATTTGATTAACATCTTATTTTAAATTTTAACATCTTATTTTAAATTTTAACATCAAATTAACATCTTATTTTAAATTTTAAATTAATTATTTGTTTATCTAATAATGATTTTGGCCAAAATAACAAAACCTGTGAACAAATTACAAAGTTTCGTGATTTGTTCACAAATTTTTATATAAACAACAAAAAAATGACGCCAAGGTAAATAAGTCACGCATGTGGACAAGACATTTTAGGAGGGTTGACTTTGGTAAATTATTAAAGGATACTTGTGATTAACCATATTATGGAGCATCATATTAACCATATCTGAAAGCTTGATCTTCATATAGGTTATTTTGCAATAGTAATAACTTTCCAGTAAACTTACTGATATCAAGTTATTCCTTATTGAGGTCAGTATAAGTTTTATGGGATCAAAACCTAAAAAGTAGGATGTGTTGTTCACATAGTAAGTTAAACAGCATACCTTTAAAGTTGTAAGGGAAAATAATAAACAGTAATTACAAAAGATTTAAGCGCAGAACCTAATGATCTAAAAAAATTAATAACAAAATATATAAACAAACATAACTTTAGGTTTTAAAAAGAAATTTAAAACAAATGAAACGCAAAAGGTAAATTAGCTGATATTAGAACAAAAAACAGAGTGAATAAAAGTTGAATATAATTTGTAATTTGTCCTCCTCTATTAGGAGCATAGTATTTTGAATAAAATACTATGCTCCTAATAGAGGAGGACAAATTACTACAGTCAAGGAAGCTTTTTTAATTTTTTTTTTTTTTTTTTTGCAATAATCTTTTTATTTGTCTCTAGCTCAACCTAAAACCTAGCTCTAGAAATCTTAAATCTTAAAATCTTAACTCTAGCTCAATCCTAAAATCCAAAACATAATAAAATACACAAGGCTGCAGTGTAGAAAAACAGGTTGAACATGGTACATTGAAAGACAAAAAAATTTGAACTTCAAGCTTTTTGGTTGTGAGCCTAATGTTTTACCACTAGTTTACTACTTAATGGCGGGATAGCTAAGTTGGTTAGAGCATCAAAGAAAAAGTTAAAACCCAGACTGTTGAACAATACGAGTTTAAATCCCGCCACCAACTCAATGCATGAGTAGTACTTCTGTACGCAAAAATGTTGGTCAATAACGGACGCTACTTTGGATTAGTCTTAATGACTATTTGTGGCTGTTCCTATGCTAAGCCAACAATATCTTCAGACATAAGAATATTTTATAAAAAAATATAGCATAAAAACTCAAACAAATTTAAAAAAAAAATACTACCGATTACAAAAACTATATATGTAATGCAATAGATTTTATAGCACTTATTTATTCAGATTTTTATTTTCATAACATAATATGCTACCCTTTTACCCTGTACCCTTTTAAAACAATTACCCTTTTACCCTGTACCCTTTTAAATTCATTCAGCATAGCCTCTGTCAATCAGCATTGTCTCCAGAAAATGAATGTTGCCATTTACTCGGCAATAAAATGGCTACAAAAACTGTTCCAGCTATGAAGAAAATTGGGCTTAAGGATATCAAAAGTGATCTAAAAGGTTTTATAAAATTTTAAAACAATAACAAACTACTACGTATCATTCCAAGGTACCATGGGAATAGCCTTCATATTCTTTTTCATGTTTATTTTATTTTTACAAAGCATGTTTACAATTTTGCAAACATTTTTTAATACAACTGCCATTAAAATGTGCGTTAGCTCTGGACCATGAATGAAAATGTTTTATGTATCCACGGGGTATACAATTTTTGACCATGTAATCATGTAGTGAAAAATGTTTTTTTTAGCAAATTTTATATATTTATATATATATATATATATATATATATATATATATATATATATATATATATATATATATATATATATATATATATATATATATATATATATATATATATATATATGTATATATATATATATATATATATATATATATATATATATATGTATGTATGTATATATATATATATATATATACATATATATATATATATATATATATATATATATATATATATATATATATATATATATATATATATATATATATATATATATATATATATATATATATTATTATTATTATTAGGTGCGCACTTTATAGTGTGATAGGTTTTTGTATTCTGACCTTTATCTATATATATAGTGGTTTTGTATATTAAGTTTTTAAATATAGTTATGAATTTGTTTTTTGCATATAGTTATTAGTTTTTGTTTTGTATATAAAGTTTATAATTTGAGTAAATACTTTTATTAATAAAAAAAGTTGAGATTGAGATAAAACTTTCAACATTTGATTACCAATTTTAATTAGTTTTTTGTTATATATTAATATTATATTACCATACAACTATTTTTCAAAAAATATATAATGTATCAAAAATGGCACCATACTTTATTTATAAAAAATATTTAGTATATACATTGTTTAAGTATCAGAGATAAAAAGAGCATAGGTAGTTTTCAATAGGGTAAAAATGCGGAATGGGAAAGTGTAGCCTGATACTAATTGCATGAAAAGCTTTGTCAGGTTTGTGTTTTAGAGCTATATGCTATATGGTAGAGAAAAATTTAACAGCATTATACAAATAAATTTTTAAAAAACTTAATTTTTTTTACGTTTTCACCAACAAGTACTTTTTTTGCTTCAAATTCTTTTCTTCCAAAAAAAACTCTATTAAGAGCACCACAACATCTGAAAAATTGATTCACATAACTTAAAACAACAAGCTCTCATTTTACTACATATATATAATATGCAATACTATCTATACATAAGGCATGTATAATATACTTACAAATTGGAAAAATTAGTACAAGCTTTAGTAATACACCAACAACATCTATTACAAAAAGATTCCGTTCTTCTATCACTCTTATCATTGGAATACATACCATAGCCTTGCTTACGACCTCCTTCAGAAAGATAATCGTCTTGATCAAAGTTGCTATATTCTTGATGAGTCATTAGAGGAATTGAATCACCTATCGCCATGTCATCATCAAGAGAATCAACGAGGGAATAAACTAACGACTTTTTCTTTTTATTTCTAGATTTTGAATTGCTCATAGCACAGTTCCATTTATTTTTTTATCTATAATTAGGGTATGTAATAAAAATAAAAAAATCTAATTATTTTATACTATTATAAATCTATCAAATGTTTATATTTCTAAAATATTTTGGTCACTTATCTTAAAATTTAAACAGATTAGATATATATATTTTCAAAATTAAGCTTGTAAATATTACTTTTTTTAAATATATTGCAAAGTATATTTCTGTAATGTACTTTTAGAAGAAAAATTTTATTTTTATTTAAAAGAATAATTAAGACACTAGGTTAAACTTTTTTTTTTTGTCTTCTTTATTTCAGTATCGGAAAACCCGTGCTCCCAAGAGCTAACCGAATTAAAATTTAACTTGGTAGGGACGGCGGGTCAACTCAATCAGATAGTAAGAGGGCCGTGGAGGAATTACTTTATTATTATTTTTTTTTTTTTAATTTTTTTTATTACATTTTTTTTTTGTGATCTTCATAATTAATTATTTACAATATTTTTTTTAAGAAGAGACGGGATGATGATTATTATATATAAGATGAGTTAAGATGAGACGGGAGCAGGCAGAAGAAAAAAGTCATCCAGCCCCGTTGTATACATTTACATATTAAACAAAATATAATCTATCATATAAAAAAAAGTATTACAATCTCAGTAAAGTAATATTAAATATTTTTAAATAAAAAGTGTTACATTTTTTTATTTTTTTATTTTTTTAGTTATTTCGAATACAATACAACTTAAGATAAAAAAAAATAAATAAAATTTAAAGATAAGTAATGATGTAAAGGGTGATATTGCTTTTTAACAAAAGGAAAAGTTAAAAAATAAAAGAGAATAAAATAAAAATTAAAAATAAAATAGTATTTGAGATACGTCATAATCAAGTTACTGTTTATTTAAGATACTTTTAAAAGTTTGAATTGAAGTTGTAGTTTTGTATTTTTAGTTTTATAGTTTTTGTATTTGGGAGGAATAAGTTCCACAAATGTGGCCCTCGGTAAGTTATTGGGAAATCTGATTGTTTTAGCAAAGTTTTAAGTACCTGATAATTAAGCAACGAATGCTTTGCTTGATATTTATGATCTACAATGAAGAAAAGGTCTTCAAAAATATTAGGCAGCATATGATATTTTAGTCTAAACATGAATAAGAGAATATTATAAATATTTAATTGGTAAATATTCAGCACTCCAAGCTCTCTAAGCAATGGATAGGCACTGTTATTAGCATTTAATATAATGCGGCTTGCTTGTTTTAGTTTTTTTAAGATACACTTTAGTCTTGACGGATAAGTGCTTCTCCATGCAATCTTACAATAACTAATATAGCTATGAATAAATGAAAAGTAAATGGATTTTAAACAGCTTTTATCCAATATATATCTAGTTTTATGCATATATCCAATACTTTTTGAAATATTATTTTTTACTAGACTTATATGCTCTTTCCAACTTATTTGCTCATCGATTAAAACGCCTAACACAAAATGTCCGTTGCCAGCGCCGGCGCTAGTATTTTTTGGTTTTTGAGATAGCTAACTTGCAGACATGGAGCAAACTCCAAACATATATATATTTATACTTATGTCAAATAAGGATGCTTTGCAAAAAATTGCGATAATTGGAGCTTGGAAACAACATAGCCCCAAAATTTTTGCCTAATCTGCCCCAAACGTGAGAGCAACAAGTTGATAAAATACTTTTTGTACTATTTTTAACTAGACTAATATTCATCGATAAATTTTAAGTTTCATAGTAAAATACTTTAGCGTTCAAAAATTATGACTATATAATGTTTAACCCCCCTCAATTTGAGGGGGTTGCAAATTTTATATTGTTATAATTTTTGAACACTAAGAAATTATACTATAAAACTTAAAATTTATCGATGAATATTAGTCTAGTTGAAAATAGTACAAAAAATATTTTATCAACTTGTTGCTCTCACGTTTGGGGCAGACTAGGCAAAAATTTTGGGACTATGTTGTTTCTAAGCTCCAATTATCGCAATTTTTTGCAAAGCATCCTTATTTGACATAAGTATAAATATATACATGTTTGGAGTTTGCTCCATGTCTGCAAGTTAGCTATCTCAAAAACCAAAAAATACTAGCGCCGGCCCTGTCCAATGCAACTTGGTTTTTTCTATTAAAATATTCAGGAGTTTTGAAAATAACGTGTCAGAATTACACCATAAATATGCTACAAGATTTTCCACAAACCACTTTGCTATTCCAAAATCTCATTCTAAACAGAATTCTTATTCAATTCAGAATCGCGGATCACTTTTGTGGAAAATAGATCAGATATATTAATTATAAATAAAAACAAGGTAACTGCTCCTTGTAATCATTAAAAAAAAAAGTTAAAAATTTATTGACAATAACCATTATCACAAATCACATTTTCTCGCTTTTTATTTTTTGTGCGTATATATTTATACTCATGTATGTGTATATTTGTACTTATTTATGTATCTATGTGTATATGTTTATATGTATATATATATATATATATATATATATATATATATATATATATATATATATATATATATATATATATATATATATATATATATATATATATATATATATGTATATATATAAATGTGTATATGTATAAGTATATATATATATATATATAAATATATATATATATATATATATATATGTGTGTGTATGTGTATGTATATATATATATATATATATATATATATATATATATATATATATATATATATATATATATATATATATATATATATATATGTGTGTGTGTGTGTATATGTGTATATGTGTATGTGCGTGTGTGTGTGTGTATGTATGTATATATATGTATTTATATATGTGTGTTTGTGTGTGTTCATATATATAAGTATATGTTCGCTTATATGTGTAAGTGTGCGAATGTGTGTATAAATTTATATATATTCATTTTTACTTTTATTTTATCAATTTATGGTATTATGTATTAAACGATATCTTATTTTATTTTTTGAATTCTTGTAAACATTTATTCAATTTTTCTTATATACTATATATTCTTCAATAACTTTGTAAAAAATTATAAATTGTAACACGGTGCTCGGCGATAATGTAAGTTAATGCCTTCTTCTTGCTCCGGCCATTAACTTAATTGTAATTTTTTGTAAACTGTAGTACTTATTAAACGGCAAAAATATAATGTTAAAAAAAAAAAAAAAATTATAAGATTTAGATAATAGAGTATATTTGCTTTTGGTAGGGTTCAGAGAGAGTTTGTTGGCTTTAAACCATTCATTAAGGTTATCAAGTTCATGATTCAAAGTGGTAAAGATTGTCTTAATGTTAGAGTGAGTATAAAAAACCTGAGTGTCGTTAGCAAAAAGATTGAAGTTTAGTATACTAGATGAAAAGTAAATATCGTTGATATAAATAATAAACAACAAAGGTCCTTGAATAGATTCCTGTGGAACTCCGCAGGTAATGTTTTCTATACTAGTGTAGGTTTTGTCATAAGATACACATTGTTTGCAATATTTAAGATAGGAACAAAACTATTTAAGATTATTATTTTTGACTCCATAAATTTCAAGTTTGTAAAGAAGAATATCATGATCCACAGTATCAAAGGCCTTAGAGAGATCAATAAACACTCCAAGAGTATATTGGCTGTATTCAAACCCATTTAATATTTCATTAACTAATTTAATTACTGCATGTTCTGTCGAGTGTCCTTTTCTGAATCCATACTGATTTTTATTTAGAACTTTGTGAGTTGTAAAATAGTTGTAAAGCCTATTAAGCATTGCTCGCTCTAGAATTTTAGAAAAACATGGGAGTATTGAAATAGGTCTGTAATTAGATAACTTTGAGATTTCACCATCTTTAAATATTGGAACTACTCTAGCTAGTTTCAAGAGATCAAGAAAAACTCCATTTTTAAATGAAAGATTAAGTAAGGGGTACTCAATAATATCAAAAACTTCTTTAACAACCTTAGGGCTTATACCATCAAGGCCTGCGCTTTTGTTTGGTTTTATATTAAAAGCAAACCGAAGTTCACCAGGCGATACCTCAAGCTTATTCATAACATAGTCCCCTTCTTTTAGATATAATTTAAATATCTTTTTCGTGGTGTTAATTTGTTTGCTAGGTTTTTACCCACGTTTATAAAAAAGGTATTGAAACTGTTTGCTATATCTTTTTCCTCATTAGTTATCGTTTTTTCATCCTCAGTATATAAATATTTCGGTAAAGTATCGCCACGAGTTTTCTTTTCTTTTTCTATCACTTCTTTTATTATATCCCAAGTTTTTTTATTATTTCTTATATTATTTTGTAATAAATTTGAGAAATGTTTTAAAACTTGAAAAAAAAAAGCTAAAAAAAATCATATAAATTTTATATAAGTTTTAAATATTTTATACTTTTTTTCGTTTTGATAAGTTTTTTTTAAAAGTATTTTTCATAATTTTTTTTTTCTTCTTAGAAGATTTAATAAGGCCTTTCGTAATCCATATACTTTGTAGACTTTTAAGCTTGGTTTTTATTTCCTTCATCGGAAACGCTTTGTCGTACGCATTAAAGAAGTCATTGTAAAAAAAATTCTTAGGCTTTATTTGTATCTTTGCAATTATGTAGTTGTTTCCAGTTTATTTTGAGTAAATAATCTCTAAATTCCCTAATATTAAGTTTAGTAATCTGCCTTTTATATTTCCGTTAGTACTTTCCTTTTTTTTTCTTTTTTATAAAAATCATATATAAAAAAAAAATTGGAAAGTGGTCACTTATATTGCTTTTTATGATTCCGCTTTGAATAATGCATGTTGTAAAAATGTTATTAAAAATATTATCGATGAGAGATTCGGTTAGAAGAGTTACACGAATAGGCTTGTTTATTAAGGTAAGAATGTCGTATTGAAAAAGAGAATTTGAGAAACGTTTAACATCGTTATCAGTTTTAACATTAAGAAGATTTAGGTTAAAGTCTCCCATGATGTAAACTTATTTATTTTTTACTTCTTTAAAGAATATCTTTTTTACTTCTTTAAAGAATATAT